ATATGTATATATATGTATATATATGATATATATGTGTATATATATATATATATATATATATATATATATATATATATATATATATATATATATATATATATATATATATATATATATATATATATATATATATATATATATATATATATATATATATATATATATATGAACACGCATAAATATAAAAAGGCCTATGAATGCCACTTTATGCGAATACTTGAAATACACGCCGTGTGTAGTGTGCGAACACCACTCACCGTATAGTCTGTACCATTCAGTTCGGCTGTCTTGAAGGTGAGGCGTAAGGGCATCAGCGCGCTCTTGAACATGTAGGCACTATCTACATCAGACGAGGAAACGGATTGGGATTCACCGACCCATGTACAGTTAGTAAAGTTTGCAAATAACGCAATGTTTAAGGTCTCCGTGTTATCGCGACTTGGCATCAGCTGACTGGTACACTCCTCCCAGTTCAGTATATATATGTATCACCAAAGCATGCCCATCAACACCACAGGGCCTAGGTACGTACAATAGTGCCTCACCGCATGAGATAGTCTCATCAGTCATACATGAGTCTATTCTACACACCCAGATATCACGGCTTTAGACCCCACTGGTAGTGTTAACCTTTAATGGCCACCTGAGCTACTCTATCCACTCAATCTGGCTTTGTGCGAGCTAAGTGGTGTCATTCTAATAAGTCAGCCCAAAGACACAAACGCGGCTTTAAACCGCATCACTGTGGTTAACTGACAGATGGTTTGTAAAAACCGAGTGTTTCTATTTTGATCAGAAGGTTCCTAGATACATACCTGGCTATATACCACACAACACTTTCCATTCCAATCACATGGTTCTATCAGACATACCTGACTATATACCTCACATCAGTTTAAATTCTAATACGATGGTTCTAGAAGAAACAAGATAGGGCTAAAAGACATACCTGGCTATATAACACAAACCAGTTTAAATTCTAAAAAGATGGTTCTATAGGAAATAAGATGGGTTTAAAAGATATACCTGGCTATACACCACACACCACTTTCCAATCCAATTACATGGTTGCATGAGACATACCTGACTATATACCTCACATCAGTTCAATTCTAATACGATGGTTCTATCAGAAACAAGATGGGGCTAAAAGACATACCTGGCTATATAACACAAACTAGTTTAAAGTCTAAAAAGCTGGTTCTATAGGAAATAAGATGGATTTAAAAGACATATCTGGCTATATACCACACCAGTTTAAATTCTAATAAGATGGTTCTGTAGGAAATACGAGGGGTTTGAAAGACATATCTGGCTATATACTACATACATATCAGTGTAAATTCTAATAAGATGGTTCTATAGGAAATAAGATGGGTTTAAAAGACATACCTGGCTATTTACCACACACACAGTTTAAATTCTACTAAGATGGTTCTAGAAGAAACAAGATGGGTTTAAAAGGCATACCTGGCTTTATACCGCACACCATGATCTCCGGTGCCAATGGCAGGGGCATCGCAGGGAACTCGCTGAGCCCATCGGGTAAGCCCAAGATTTGACGTAAACGTTCAATCTGATAGTACGCACGCCCAGGATGTCAGTGGTGAGTGCAATAGAAACGTGTACGGGCTATTGTAGCGCTATGGGATGTAACTGTGAACATGTATGAGAAATCTGAAGACCTTGATTGGGGTATATCTACCGCACCAACATAGTACATCAGACAACCCATACATATAATAGCCTTGGGTTGATACGAACTCAAATACCCTCCATGAGCTGAATTCTATAGGCATATACGTGTAGGTCTTGTTCTTCGGATACACATGCGTATATTAATACTATGAGCTGTATTCTATAGGCAACTACGGAGTGCATTAGGTTAAATCTAGCATCAAATCATCCATCAAGAGGGATCACTTAGTTATATTTAGTACCATGCACTTCTACAGGAACCACTAATCTATATCTGGCACCCTTCATACCAACAACAACAACAACAATAACAACTGGTAAAACAGGCTACGTAATGAGCACGCATGCACGAACGGCAGTCAACGCGTACGTTGAGTGAGAGTCTTATATGGTGACCAGTTGCCCATCTCGTACCACACACATGCCCCAGCGACTACTACTACAAGGCTTAGATGAGTCATGCAAGCCATGCTGAGTTTATTGGTGCAGGAATGAATGGACACGTCTTTTGCATGATATGCATACCTGGTACACCCGCATACAACAGCAATAAATACGAATACAAACGA